AAAAAAAAAAATACAGCTTTTCATAAAATGCTTTTAGCTTCCATTGTGCACACTATGTTCTTTGCTCTGCTGCAGTGTGGGAAAAAAGAATAACAACAAAAAAAGGACTAATATTTAATTTTAGGAATCGGTTTGATTAATTTAAAATAGGTTTCAGAGCTTCATAAACTCTTCTTCAATCTACTAATTTGAAATCTAGCAGCAGCAGCAGCTCTTATCATCGCGGTTTTATATTTCTGGCTGTATTTGCATCTCTATCCTCTCTCTCTCCCTCTTTTCATGAAACTCATTTCAGCTTAATACAAAAATGTTACCATGCTGGAAAAGTGCTCACGTTGTGGCTAAACATAGGATGGCATTTACCCCAGTGCAATTTCAGTCCTCACTTGAGATAACAATCACACCCACCGCTGTGAGTACTATGACGAAGGTCCTCGCTGACATCATCAGCATTAACTGTTTTCATTTGCTTTGTTATCAAACTTAAGAGAAAATGCTTCACATCCATTAATTAACAATTATGACACCAAGTTGCAGCTGTGCTAAGTGTGTGCCCGCTACTCAAAGTTTGCAGGGACAGTACAACTTCAGCTCATCCCTGGGATTGATTTAATAACAAAATGAAACTTTCCTCTGTGGACGATGTCATTCTGTTTTTAATCTTTCAGTGGGAAGCCTTTACGATGCTAATCAGTATAGTTCTGTGGTACACTGGTCTATTATTTGTGTCCCATGTAAATCACTGGTTAAAAAGTGACCGTTTCTTTTATTCTAGCCTTTTTGTTGCATGTTCATGTCAAGGTAAAACACCTAGATACAGAAAAATGATCAGGTCAATGCACAGAGTTTCGCCTTACTGGAAAAAACCCACATGGATCCAGGGGGATGAAGTCTTTTGACTTTGCTGACATTGTAATACCTTTTTTACCAGCAATACCACCGCCGCCACATACTAAAATCCTGATTAAGATATGTGTTTAAACAATTATTCCACGTTATTATTAATTCATTTGTTTGGTGTAATGAAAATGAACGAAACAGGTTCACTAGCGAGGCTGAAGCACGTTAATCTTCTTTGATATCAATCTGCTGATAATTAAAAAAAAAAGCAAACTGGGATGACTATGTCACTGTCAAGAGGGATTAAACTAATTATAAGCTCATCTGCATGTGTCTGCACGCGTCCTGGATCTGCTTACCCAGTGATTTTTTTTAATGATGCCTTTTCTGGACTGAGTACCGTGGCTCAAATAGCTTCGTTTGGTCGAGCTTTTTGCCTCACATTACATGCAAAAATGTTCTCACGGACATAATTGCAGTGAAAAGGTGTGGAGACGTATTTACAGGGTTCTTTTTAGGATAAATCTGTTTGGAAGCAGTCACTTTAGGCATACAGACGAGTTATGCAGCAAATTACCAAAAATACCTCAAAAAGCCTACAGGATATTACACAATGTCAGCACAGGGTGTTACCATAATTAATCTGACCACCCTGCATTTAGACAAGGTCCTGAGCGACCTTCTACTTCTAATGGGTCCAAAGCAATTTGCATACCAAATGAAGCTAATGTGAGAAAATAAGACTTAAAGGGCAGTTCCGCTGTGATTTCAATTTTCTTCCATTGCCTGTCTAGCCTGTGCTCTGACTGTCTCCAAGTCCTGGTTTGTTTTTCTTCCCTATTCATACTGCAGGATGCCTTTGTGCTTCCTCATACACAAACACAATGCCACTTTTCATTTGTATCCAGGCAATACACGCATATCTTTGCTAGAACTCTTTTAATCATCTGAAGTCAATTCACACCATCCTGACTACACTTTCACAAGTAGATGCTTCAGATCTGCGCGCTGCTGCTCTAAATACAGACAAAGCAGATAAATTAGTTCATCATAAATTCTAAATCTTTCATCCATACTTCTCATTCATTACCACTTGTCTTGCATACAGCAGTGTTTCCATTTGTTCCTGTTCGGCTAGAACTTCTGATGGAGATTTTTTTATACCTTTGCTTCCTAAAGTAGCTTCTGATTGCATTTAGAAATTACTTTTACATTTTACTGATAAACTGATTGACCTTTCTCTTGGTTTTACTGGTGAGTTGTCAAACCATTTGCTTTTAGGTGGTTAGATCCATATTGGGAATATGACTCTAAAATTCAGTCCATGGCAGTGGTTTGTGAAGTTCTTCTGCATAAAAGACACTGGCCAGCCAGGAAACGTGAAGTCTCGTCATTTTCAGTCTCGAGTGTTTCTTTTGTTTCCCCAAGACACTAAAATTTTCTCCTAAATGGGAGTAGTTTCTGGTTAACAAACCTGCTTGGATAAGAAGGAATTCCTTGGATTCAGAACCCATCACATTGGTCGCTGTGCAGTTGTAACTGCCAAAGTCGTTTTGAGAATCAGGGGTAATCTAAAAGACAAAAAGAGACAAAAACACCGAGAAATATCAGGTTATGTCAAGTTTTTGGATGTGAACAAAAAAAAAAAAGAAAGAGAAAAGACTCTGACTATATGCATGAACTTAAACACAGTGTAGATCATTAGGGTGTAGTCTCACTTAATGCTTTTCTGCTATTTAGCATTTGTGTTAGATCTGGAGCCTGGTTGGTATGCAGATGCACAGATTTCTTGATTTTAATCATTACCCATTGGTTCATTAACACAGTGTCTAGCAGTTGAGTGTGCTCAATACCAGGCCTATAATTACAGTCCATTTAAAGTTGGTCTGGAACTACTTGTTAGCTTTTAATGCAATCTTTCACGTTACTCTTTAATCTCACTGAAACAGTGGCTTATATTAGCCACAATTCATTCTTGTGTAACAAACAGAAAGCCTTTTGTGAGCTACGACTCTGTTTTTTTGTGTGTGCGTTTTTGGATACTTCTCAAAAACAATTAAAAAAAATAATTGAAAAGGGTTTGCTTGGGAATCAGCAAGTAAAACTATATAAAAAAAATAAGTAGAACACAACCTAATCTAATGGCTTGATGTGTATCTGTGCAGTAACTGGAGCTGCGTTCTAAGTAATCTGCCAAAATATGTCAAATATACAGAGCATGTTTGTGTGTTTTGTGCCTCTTTATGTCAGTAGAAATCAGCATTAAGAAGACAGATGCAGCACACCTCAAGGTAGCTGACGGATGGTGTGTTATAGATCTTCATGTTAGTGCTGTTGGCAGTGGGCAGCTGGAAGCCGTCTCTGAACCAAACCACCGAGGCTCCGGGATGAGCCTCCACCTCACAACTGATGTTGGCCGGGTTTCCCTCCCATGTATATACTGTCACCGAACCCAGGATCTTTGGAGTATCTGAAGGAACAGACAGGGGAGTGAGGATGCTTGAAACAGATAAGCAGATTGTCAAAGGTTTACTGAAATTACTCGGTGGAAATAAACTGAATCTGACTAGTTAAAGAAAAAACTCTTATGGTTGGCCAAATTTATGCAGATTACTGACAAACCCGTGGAAAAAACTCCTTTACTACACATGTGATGCATTATTAGGTAGTGCAGAAAGTAGTACTGGATACTCAATGGGGAGAAAAACAAAGGAACAAACATTAACATTAAACATTAACAGTAACAAAGGAAGACATTCTGGGTGATATAGGATTCATCAAACAGCACAATAATGACCCAAAATATCTGCAAGATGAAACAGCCAAGATGTAAATACTGCATATAATCAGCTGTATGTGAGTAAAACGTTCACTTTTACAGCAGTCTAAATTGAACCCAACAGGAATCTGCTTGTAAAAAGCAGCACTGATTTTTAAGTATGTGCGGTATAATGAAAACTCCAAGCTCTGTTGAAAAGTCTAAAGGACAGAACGGTATCAGTCAGTTGGATATGGCCATTATATCTTGTCACGAATGGCAGTATTTCCTTTCATCCTTGAAGCTCTTCTCCACATTTCTAGCAGCTTTAATCAAGGCTACCAGTAGAAATACTCGATTTAGAATTCATGGCAGCAGAAAAAAGACACGTAAAACACAATCACTACGGAAAAGAAAGCACTCGTGGCAATGGTGACAAAAGCTACAGTTGTACAGAATGGTAAACAGATGCTAAATGAATTCTAATGCTTTAGTTGTGATCTATAAATTTTTACGGTATGCATTTATGTTTTACAGCCAACTTGTGCTGGTTTTATAAGACATGAAAATGCTTCAGAGAGTTTATGAATGTGTTACAAATAAAAAAACAACAACATTATAACTAATAATTATAAATTAGCACAACCAATTAGTTTAAAGAAATAGCACTGCTCGGGTTTGATGACCAGATTATTTTTCTTTGATTTCTTTAATCTTGTATGTGCCTGTAGCATACTTATGGATTATGCAGCAAAAATCAAATAAACGACTGAAACAAGCAACAGTTTGACCAAGCTATTTTCACTTCCTACCTGAAATGAGTTGATACCATATAGCCAAACCTGTTACACTGCACCCCAATTTTTGACAGGAAAACAGACAAGTAAGAGTAAATGTAACGGTAAAGTTAATTAATTCTTCCCTTCATTGTTTCCTTTTAAAATCTCCTGCTCAAATCACAGAGCATTGACTTTAAATTCGGTGAAGTATGCTTTGCTTCACGAGTGTCGTAAAATGCAGTGGACCCTGACACTGCCAGGGCTTTACTTCTGACCCTAGATCCTTTAAAAGTCTGCAGCATGCTGCGGCTGGGATTGATGGACAAGGCTGAGTCAATAGATGTTCCATCTCCTGCAGCTCTGATTAGATTCTCACTCTTTCTGTCAGTGCTGCTTTTGGTCTCATTGACTCTATAGGGCCTGCGACCTGCCTGTTTGATTTCTGCAGGCTGCTAGCCTGGTATAGGTGAACATAGGAGGAATGCATCTGCCACATAGGGTTCATACATATCAAGTAGACTGCATAGAGCTCATGTATATTAAATAGATTGCACAGTGCTCATAATGATATCCTATAACAAAGTGCATACAAATGCTATAGTTATACAAAAATGATGACAGCGTCACATTTGTACGACTAGTACATTCATACAAAAGTGGCAGCAACAGCAATACTTACTAGAGATGGACCGATCCGATATTATGTATCGGTATCAGTCCGATACTGACCCAAATTACTGGATCGGATATCGGCGAGAAATAAAAAATGTAATCCGATCCATTAAATATCAAAAAAGCACCTCACAAAACTTGC